ATCAAATAATACTGCTCATTAAATTGTATTGATGTCTTGTCCTTCTCCTAGTGACACATAACGGAAGAGTCAAATATGGAGTGAGATCTAAGGTAGGCCTCATACTGGCATGCGTCAAGACGTGTAACAGTCAAGAGACAATGTCTGCTACATGACGCAAAGAAAAAGCACAGTTGAAATGAATGAGATTATGAAAACCGCCGCACACCTATCTGAGTCATGATGCTGACGTCAGCTTCATGCTGACGAATCACGAATGAAGCAAGACTGCGTCTTTGGCTGCTTGTCTTGACGCAGTTGGTGTGCGGCCGCTTGAACAGCAGTAGACTCAGCGCACGTCACCGCTAGATGAAGCAGAATAAGCTACCATCTGCCAGCAGCACTCAATCAGTCATTAGGCTATAGAAAATTTTTGTAGCTTCTGAGAGTTTTACCTACGCAGAAACTCCTCGTTATGATATTCGAAGGTTCATCATATCCTTAACGATACCTCTGTCTCTAATCTTCCTGGGAGTTAAAGGGCGGCCGGAGAGTAAGGCTGACAACCTCACCGCCATCTGTGAACCTACTGTCTAGAGAAAATGTGGGTGCCTCGACGTCTTACAATCCTATCGGCCTTCACGGACTGTTACAGGAATACCTTTACTCTTTTACCTTACCTCTCTCTTCTTAACCTGAATCATTTTAGTTCTACATAAAGAAAATTTATATTAGCTTTTTTTTCCGGTCCAAGTCTCGGCGTCGCTATAACCAATTAAAAACTAATCATTAAATATAACAAATGAAATTATTCTTAATTCTGTTGATTTATTTAATAAGACCAGTTACCAGGCAGATTCGTGACGTGTTAACACTATAGACTTGTATTCAGAAGGTGTTAGGTTCGAATCGCGCCGAAAACCTTGCTACCCTTACCTCTTACCGTAGCTTTTCCTCAATTTCACTAGGATATATTCGGATAGTGAGCCGGTCACGGTAGCCGAGCGGTCTAAGGCATGTACTGTCTTCGCTCGCTTGGGAACCGGGATCATGGGTTCGAATCCCACTCAGGGCATGGATGTTTAGTTTGTGTGTGTGCGTATTTTTGTGTTCATGTACAGGTAGAGGCCTTGCGACGAGCTGATCACCCGCCCAAGGAGTCCTACCGAATATGTAAGATCTAGTGAAACCGAAGTGAACGGAGAAGTTCATGGAGGTAGGCCTAGGCCCACTGGGGCTGTAGTTCCAAGGAAAAATATTCGGATAGTACTCCGATTAGGCCGCAACCTTTTCGTTCCAAATTCTTCCCGCTTCATTGCTTATCTATCATGCAATAACTGGGCGGTGTATGGACTGGGCACTGAGAGTGCAGTAAAACGATTCACAGAGAAAAACAAAACCAGCTTCATATATTCTTCAACGAAATTTGTGTGTGTTTGCAGTTACAGTCATGTCATATCTATCTCATTCTCCTGTAATACGTCACTATAGCAAAATTAGAAGCAGATTAGAAATCAGTATATACCTCATTAAATACAATTTGCCTTTCCTACTTACTAACATCTCTTGCATTGAAACGGTATTTGTAACATTCTTGACACATTTTTCTAAAACATCTAACTCTGAGGAGTAGCCATTAAAAAGAATTATATCATAAAAATGTTTTACTGAATGTTTCAGTACTTTGCAATTTATTTCTGTGAAAGTGTTTCATTGGGCAACTCCAAAGGGCTTCATGCGTTCCTGCCATGCCTCAAAGCACCCTCGAAAATCATTTTGTGAAAGCCCATTCTGGAACTCTGTCCTTTTCTTTTTTCTGGATGTCCTCAACCGATTGAAGATGTCTTTTTTCAGTAAACATTTTAACTTAAGAAAGGTGAAAGAGTTGTACGGAGAGAGATCTGACAAGTAAGGGGCGTGATCGAGTAGAGGAGCTTTTTTCTTGAACAGAAACTCTCAAATCGATATGGCGTTGTTTGGTGAGGCTCCGTCCTGCTGCGTACCCCAACCATTCTCCCCCATCTGCTGTCCTTTCTATCGAATTCTTTCTCGCAGTTCGACAAGAGCTCAATCTAATGCTCTGATTCAAAGTCTGACCGGATGGGACACACTCAGACGTAATTCTTTTAACATCGAAGAAGACACAAGCATTGTCTTGAAATGGTATTTTGACATTTTTCCTATCTTTAGTGTTGGAGAGGGAGTTGAGTTCACTGCCGTTAGATTTCTGGGTCGAATGGAAACAGTCAAGTTTCATTGAAAGTGATGACATTGATCAAAAAGTCTGGAACTTCTTCGATTCTTTACAAAATATCGCAAATATTTTATCTTCCCTTTCCGATTTCTTTTCCTTGTTCAAGATTCTACGGCACTATCTTGGCGCAGACTTTTCTGATGTTAAAATTATTGGTTATAATTTGTCTTCCTATTCTCTTATCTACATTTAATTCTTCTGCTTCCACTCTGTTGATCAGGCAGCGATCATTTAACATAAGATTCATCTCTTTTTTTCACATTCTCTTCACTTCTCTCTATCACTGAATCACCAAGCTCTTCAACGTCACAATCTTCCTCTGTTTCTTCAAAAAAATCTTATGACTTAACGGAAATATATGTCCTCCATAGGTTTCCCTCTCAATATACCTCACGTTAAAAGTTGTAGTTTCCGTTGGTGTTTTTTTTTTATGTGACACTAACACTTTGTTTGATCTTGACGTGTGCCATAATTTTTGTGTTCAGTGAAAACACTTCTTCACATGAAGCCGTAAAATTCTACAATAAGTGAAAGTGTTTAAAAAAAAGCTTCAGAACACATCACGAAAAATGTAACCCACCTTGGAAAATCATTAATATATTTTTTTCCTAAAAATTTCTATCTTTTGGGATGTTACTCCGTGCAGTTTAGAGGAAATCAGCTTACGTTTAGCAGGAATACACAAGCGTCAATTTGCAAGATCGGAGAGGAAACCAAGCAAAAATCCAGCATGAAACAGGAAACAAGCAACTCTTCAACCCTGAAGATGGAAGTAAATTGTTCATTTGAAACATCTATCGACTTTCACAAGAACTTTACTGCGTTTTACCAAAGAATACGACTCTCTTCATAGACACCGTTTTGATAACTTTGAGTCCACACTTTTTTTCTTGTGACGCTGTCAGTGTCTACGCTGTTCAGCGTCGAATGGTACTATGATCGGTGAAGTGGGAAGGATTCGGATGGAAGCGGTCGTGGCATACTAGAGGCAACGTCCTGACAGTTGTCTGGAAATAAGGAAAACAACGAAGCACCTCAGATAGGGTACACGGTCTCCTAAATGGGAATCCAACCGGTCACCTCCCGGGTACAAGTCTAGAACATTGCCGTTCTACTAACCTGTTCCATGTTGATATCAAGGTCGTCAGAAATATTTGGAAGTTAAATGATCTGCATTGCAAATTGACACATGAAGCGATATATCACATGAAACGATGTATCGAAGCTTATAATGGAAACCGGAAATATGTCCGACAGAACTATAGAAGTGTAAACTAAACCAAGTTTATTCTCTCGTTACCGGTGATTTGTTACATAATGTACGTAATCAGCATCAGTTTAAATTCGTGACTGCTTGTTACAAAATCCATTTAAAACGACAAATCATGCAGGCTGATTGCACGGTACATTTTGGAATGTCTCTGCCTTATACAGGGTTATTCATACTGAACCATACTGTTTTATAGTGTTGTGACTTCACAAGAACGGATGCAATATTTCATGTAATATTGAAACGTGTGTCAACAGATAGAGGGCTATGACTAGGGTGCGGAAAGTGGAAATGGGGCTTTTATGATCTGTCATGGGATAAGATAGACAGGCGAAATTCACGCGTGAAGAAACCGGAATAAAATTCAGTGAAACATCAGTGAATGTATATATTTAAAAATATAAATCAGATTGATTCTGCCTAGTAGCTAGAATAGAAAGCACGAATACCAAATAAAGTTTGAAAATATAAACTGATATGAAGGAATATTTTAGGTAGACCCAGAAAAAATTGTTTCATGAAATTTATATATGCTAAGCATCTGAGCAGTAAAGGAAAGAAAATAAGTTATAATACTGCTTTCATACGATAGAACATTTATTTCAAGTTGTTTCCAGTGTGTCTTGCTCCAACCAGGCGAACAAGAAGCCGCTCAATTTTCAATAGGAAGCGCGTGAAAATATTCGAGATTTATGAGATTTGGTTACTACAGATATTTATGTATTCTGGGTGTAATGAAGGAAGAGCATAATATTTGGGCGTATTTGCTCAAAGCAAGAACTGTGGAAGTAGAAAAACAGCCGTTGCTAGGTATTGTCCGCGCGCAACAGTAGAGGAAGTGTTATGATACGTGACGCGTACAGCAGGTGCTATGGACCGATTGGGTAAGCACGTACTCGGTGACATTACACAATAGAAGATGTTTTGTAAGCGGTGTTCTCTGTAGGTCCACTCCGAGGCTATATGACTCGACCGACCGTGTTCAGTTCAGAGAGTAATTGCAGTACAGTTGAGCGTTCAGTTGTGGATTGTTAACCAGCGGGAAACAGAATGTGAAGAATCTCCATTGTTAAGATTTGTTACCGGGAAACATATAGTGAAAATATTGTAGAGGAGTAGCCATTATGGCTATTTGTTACCAAATAAAAACTAGTGAAAGTAGACGGAGAAAACAATGTGGAGTGATTTGTAAAATATTGAAATCAGCAACAGTGTTATAGTTATTTGTAGTTTCGACATGTAAGTGGTCAATAAACAAATTCATCAATCCAAACTGCGTCTAGAGTCACCACAAAAAACGTGACAGTATAAAGACAGCTAACAAATCGTTGCAAAATATGACAAGACTTGAAATATTTGGCGACGAGGGTAACATATCAAAGTTATATTTACGAAGAAACTTGAAATATTTGCTACTATTCATTTCAAAGGATTCTTTAAAACTCGAATATTAAAATATACAAAACTATATTTTTGTTATTTCTCTCATTCTTTCAGGTGTGTCTGCAGAGGAATTCCTGGATGAATTAGGCCAGGAGCTAATTGTAACAACGTGCGAGAAACGCTTAAAAGAACGAGCGTTTCGCTGCCTGGGAGGTAACCTACAAGAGTTCCTAACCACTTTAGATGGAGTACACGACGTACTGCAAGGAGAGGGAGCGCCAGAGCGAGCCAGTTTCGTCTGCACTGCCGACCCGGCCGGTCACCTGGACCTCCTTTTCGCCACGGAACGGCCGGCCGTTGCATTGCTTCTATTGGGCAGCTTGAAGGCCATCGCTAATCGCTTTTATCATACTGACGCTTCAATATCCGTCAGCAGCGATGATGATCCAGGTCATTACCGGTAAGCTGAATATACTACATTAAATATTTCACACGAAATACTGAGGTTTATGTATTCCTTACAGTCTGATAATGAAATCTATGATCCAGCACACCAAATATGAATACCTACGATCAGAGAGAATCTTAATAAAATTGAAGCCATTTAAATCATGCCAAAGCCTCAACATTTATTTTCATAAGATTTGTTTTAATAAAAGTACATATAATTTACTTACGTCTAGCTTCGTGTCCAATATCATCGTTTTCCAGAATGTTTACTTACCAATTGGTTCATACTAGAAGGGCAAATAAATAGTTCCTTCGCCGAGTAACATGACCACTGCAACTAAATTTTGATTATCCACACAAGGAAGTTGTAATGACATGTTAAATATAAAACACAAATTATAATAGCACGAAGGCCGGTCCCGGTAGCCGAGCGGTCTAAGGCATGTACTGTCTTCGCTCACTTGGAGACCGGGATCGTGGGTTCGAATCCCATTCAGGGCATGGATGTTTAGTTTGTGTGTGTGCGTGTTTCTGTGTTTGTGTACAGGTATAGGCCTTGCGACGAGCTGATCACCCGCCCAAGGAGTCCTACCGAATGTGTAAGATCTAGAAAAACCGAAGTTAACGGAGGAGTTCATGGAGATAGGCCTAGGCCCACTGGGGCCATAGTGCCAAGGAAAAAAATAGTACGAAGACATAAACAGGCTTCTTATAAATTTAGCAAGTAAGAATTTTCTTCTAGCAATTGGCAGTATTTATTCAAGATATCTGAAACAACAAATAAACGCCTTCTAAGGCTTCCGAAGATTCATAACCACAAAAGCGCATTAAAAGTACTAAATATCGAATCGTGTTCCCCGTGTCTTTAACTAGGTAGGAAGCAGAGCCATCTGCTTTCCGCCTGTTTCGGACTCGTTTCTTGTTTCACTTATCCTTCGAATGTGAAAATGGGGGCCGCACGTTCCTCCGAAAAGCCACTTGACTTAAAAAACACTACAGGACCTTAATTCCAGAATATATAACTCTTATAAAATACTTTTACTCTACCTGCACTTGCATAACGTTTGTTCTATTACGTAGTGGAATATTTATTGAAATGTTCAGTTTGCTTCAAAATTTGTTTCTCTCGTATTTTTATGTAGTTACTGAAATGAAATCTGCTTCAGAACTTAAGAGCATATCTATCGCAGTCAGGAGCCTTGACGATTGAGAGATCGGAATTCAAGTCCTGGTAGTGTCAAGAATTTTCTTTTCTCCACGTCGTCCAGGCAGGCTATGTGGTCCACCTAACCTCCTATCCAATGGATACCGGAGGCTCTTTTCCCGGGGGTAAAGCGGCCGAGGTGTAAATCTCACCATTCGCCTCCAGATAGTGCCAAGGCAAAGCTAATTTGGATCCATACATCCACTCCCCATACACCTTCATGAGTTAGCGCTTAATTAGTTAAGCACAGGGACATCTTTACCTTTCTGCAGATGATGGAAACACTTTCACATACGCCTGCCAAAATTTCTATGTAGGCAACCCATATATCAGTGTGTCAGATTTAGCTGCTGCGGCCGTAACAGTGAGATAGACATGAGACTTGGCACCTCTGATGGATGTGGGAACTGCGCGTGTGACAGTGTTGTATTTATTGAGAAAACATTGACTTCACAGAGATAACCAATACCGTAATATTTGTGCACCGGAAAGTATGTTTAAATGTCAGTGCCTATGTTGAAAATGTTGCCGAATGAAGTTACACATGAATAAACGTGAATTCAAACACTGTTAAAAGAGAGCGACACGACATGTTGCTATAATCTATTCTGAGTGTCTGCGGACTGCGTGTACAAAAACATTAGCGATATCATGTTCTCTTCTCACTGGCATACAGGACGGGAAACTTCTCTTCGCACTGTATACATGATACCTTCTTCAGTGTAACAGTAGTGCGTTAAGACACGATGGACAGGAAACAGGCTCCTCACCTAAATCTAGTACCAAATTTAAAAATGTTATAAAATTATAGCCCACTTCCCATTTATTTACTTACTCACTCACGGAGCTGAGCCCTTCTGGAGGAGCCGCCAATTCTGCAGCTACTCAAGAATTTCCCAGCATTTTATGGAACCAGAAGGTTCATTACCGTGTTCACAAGAGCCCTCCACTAGTCCTTATCCTGAGCTAGATCAATCCAATCCATACCATCCCATCATATTCCTCTAAGATCTATTTTAATATTGTCCACCCACCTACTCCTTGGTTTTCCTAGTGGTCTCTTTCCTTCTGACTTTCCCACCAATATCCTACATACATTCCTCTTCTCCCCCATTCGTGCCACATGCCCTGCCCACCTCATCCTCGTTGACTTGTTCATTCTAATTATACTTGGAGAAGAGTACAAGTTATGAAGCTCCTCATTATGCAGTTTTCGCCAACCTCCTATCACTTCTCTCTTCGGTCCAAATATTCTCCTCAACACCTTGTTCTCAAACACCTACTTCCCCATACGCCTTCGAAATATGGGGCTTAATTTATCAGCTCTACTTTTACGTAACGGTAAGTTTGCTTGTGTAATGTGTCGGCATTTAAAAGGAACTTAGTTGTATTGTCACGATTTAGATTGTGACTATAAACGGGGTTTGGATTGGTGAACTGATTTATTAACCACTTATACCCACGACTCGGAACTACAAGCAATTACAGAGACACAGCTAATCTCCACAATTCGAAAATCACAGCAGCACCCGCTAAGTTTTTCCCAGCTTACTGTATCTTCACCAGACGTTCCCTGGCAACGGCGTCTAACAATGGAGATTCTTAAGCTGCATGCTCTCAGGTTCTAACTTCATAGCCTCCCATGCAGAACTGATTAACAACTGACTTCTTCCTTTGCTTATAACATCTCGGCACGGACCACGTAGAAACACCCCGTTTCCAACAGTAACTATATTGTTGCGTGTATATTCGTTGTCGTGGGAACGTGTTTACCGAGGCGTTGACTGAAAACTGTTGTTGTTTATAGAGTCACCGCTTAGCAAGGGGTCTCTACGCCACAGTTTACATCAAGTTTACTTGTTGGGAAAATAGATGCAGGTAGGTCTTCATATGAAGACTGTTCGGTTATATATAAAATTATATTATAGCAACAAACCTTAGCAACTCTCTGCAGTATAAAATTCCACGATAATCCCCTCAGCAGAAATAGAGTTTTTACGTATGTGCTGATAGGTGAATAGTCGTACTGAATATAATAGGACCGTGTTCATAATTTTTTATTGCGAATTTTCCCCATCATGTTATCAAAATTCATGATGAAATAAGAGCTTAGAGGAAGAATAACTATTAAGTGATTTGGATTAGTACAGATCTAAAATTATGAATAGTTCTATTGACCTAATCTCTGAATATAAATTGTATTTCAGGTTTTCGCCGTTAGTGCTTATTATATCAACGGTTTTTTGGGAGTACACGTAGTAGACTGTCGATTTTCCAACGTTTCATCAAATATTGCAGCTGAAATCTTCCGAATCGAAGACATTAAACCTGAAGATGCCAGCTGTAATGTTCACCGATACGTTTGAAAAACTTAAATTGTTCTAAATGGTGTATATCCGGTATCGAAAATTGTACATTAAAATATTTTATCCTGGTAGTTACATATTTTCCAGTATTATTAATATTCTTAGAGAGAACAGTGTCACCGGTAAAGGAATGGCACTCATTTAGCACTAATACTGAGAGGTTGATGCTTTCCTCAGGGAAAGGCATTAGTTTCTCTCCGACTAATTCCTGCTCGGCACGTGTGGGGGGATTAAGGGGGAAGGGATCCCATGTTGTCTTACATCATGAACCTCAGTGGAATTCAGAAGCGCTGTTACATTCTAGGTCAATTTTGCTGTTGAAACTATTAGTGTCAAGTGTGTGTGTGTGTGTGTGTATATATATTGTTTTCTTTCACGTAGGATAGACATGTAGAATTATATCTCCAATAAGCCTTGAACAATTCTGTTGGTCTTCTTGAAACTCTGTACTAAAATAAACCTTGATTTTTCTTTGCTTGTCTTATGCCTCCTTCCAATCAAAATTCGGAGTCAATTCTAACACAGTAATTTTCACATTTTGAACCAACTTTGAAAGTAAGATCGCCCCATAGTAAGGAACCGCTTATCATACAGCCTTACTTTTTTCTAGCTTCAAAATGTATAAAACCAGAAGGCGCGTAGGCTCTTTCAGTCAGAATAGAATTACGACTACTCCAAGTGGTCCAGCATCTATGCTACATAAAATCACGTCGATCCACATCACGATTCATTAAGGTTATCACGTAACACATTCATCCAAATCATGATCCAGCAAGTATTTCACGTAATACACCCATCCAACTCACAATCCATTATGAATGTCAAAAAAAACACATCCATCCGAATCACGATCTAGTAAGGATATCACGTAATACATCCATCCACATCACGATTCATTAAGGTTATCACGTAACAGATTCATCCAAGTCACGATCCAGTAAGGATGTCACGCAACATCCATCCACATCACGAATCATTAAGGAAGTCACGTAACACATCCATCCACATCACGGTCCAGTAAGGATATTACGTTAACACATTCATCCAAGTCACAATCCAGTAAGGATATTACGTAACATATCCATCCATATGACGATCCAGTAAGGTTATCACGTAACAGATTCATCCAAATCACGATCCAGTAAGGATGTCAGGTAACATCCATTCACATCACGATTCATTAAGGTTATCACGTAACACATTCATCCAAATCATGATCCAGCAAGTATTTCACGTAATACACCCATCCAACTCACAATCCATTATGAATGTCAAAAAACACATCCATCCGAATCAGGATCTAGTAAGGATATCACGTAATACATCCATCCACATCACGATTCATTAAGGTTATCACGTAACAGATTCATCCAAGTCACGATCCAGTAAGGATGTCACGCAACATCCATCCACATCACGAATCATTAAGGATGTCACGTA